CGTCGCGTGCCATGAAATGAAATGATCGAACACTCCAGAAGGTCGAAACGGAAAGGCGTGCTCATGCGGTTTCCTTTCTGTGTACTTTAAACATAGCAATGCACTCGTTGCTCCCATTCGAGTCTTTTACATGTCCTGGCGCTGGGAGGCGTGCTGCACTGAATATGAAACACGTCGCAGCGGAGACACACGCCGGCAGGATGGCCTTGCTTTGGAGGCTTACGTTGTCTGCAAAATAATAAATTTGTAAGGCTGTTTGCGAAATTCAAAATTGAAATTATTGGAATGGCTTACTTCGCCACGTGTATTCACGTAGATTTTCATTTGCCAGTGCTTTCATTTTGAAGAGGAGAAAGGGAATAAAATCTCGTCAGATCTGAAAGTTAAGATAACTATATTTTCAATTTTCTTGTTTCTCATTGCTCATTGATGCTGTCGCTCACGTGTCTGTTGCTTCCATTTTCAAGAGGGAAAGAAGATGAGTTCAGAGTCACAGACGTGGACGTGGGAGATGTCGACGCGGTCATCGTCGGTCACGACTCATCCGGCCAGGCTCCCGCGTGGCACCTGGATCACATCGTCATCACCAAGGCCGCCACGGGTGAAGAATATCTGTTCCCATGCAGGAAGTGGTTCGACAGCGCCGGAGGGGACGGCAAGACGGAACGAGTATTGCGCAGGGTAACGTGAGTGGTTCCCGATGGATAAATTTACTGTAAATATTTGTTGCAATATCAAAATTGGCGTTTGGAAATGCGCGGCGTGGATTCATTGGCTCCACTGCGAGCTGAGACGCCATGCTTCGACGGTAGAGAAGCAATTCTTAATTTCAGACACCGTTGTATCATTTCTTTGAGGCCGCGGGTATTTGATTCAGGTAATGTGAGTAAATTATTCGTCAATGTATCATTTTAATTTTTGGAGGCCGTGGGTATTTGGTTCAGGTAATGTGAGTGAATAATTCGTCAAGTGATCTCGGATTTGAGGCATGATGCCGATTGACGCAATTTTATATCACATGTTAATGCAAATTCTAAAAAGTTGCGCCTAAGCATCAAGAAATGCATATTTGCGTACAAGACGTACTGACTATTAAAGAATCTAACACATTCTTGGTGAGCTTTTAAACCGATGCAACGGCTGTAGAATAGATGCAATAATATTTCCTTAAAATTTGTTACGTAAAATAATCGCTTTGGAGTATGCGTGGATTGGAATAAAGACGGCTGCGATTTCGAAGGTCGCTGATTTGCCTTTTCAACATAATCGGATTATGAGCAATTTATATGTTCATTTGTGTGAATCATAGAAGCTTCAGTTTAAATTTCCTATAAACCAATTTGCTGATTGCAACCATGCGTATTGACTGTGGCGATTAAAATGGACGTGTCCCATTACAGGCAAAGTGATCTGCTATGTGGAGTTTTCGCCCGTGGTCAGTACCTTAATAATGTATAGAGGAATACATCTAAATCCCTGTATCGATTGGCGTACTACCAAACTAAACTCAAGCTTTACAACTGCATTGCAATTTCCTCAATGGAATATTTAAAATTTCTCGTGAACTTCAACTGCAGGGCAACCATTCATAAAGTTTTATTGATTTTGTCAATATTTGTCAATGCCAGCTCAGTATCGATTGAGCGACACAACATAAATGTATGGGAATACACGGATACGACGTGTGCAAGCTTACTATCCACATGGGTGCATTGCATGAAATAATGCCGTTCCACAAGTTGATATTATATTCCTTTACACAAAGCCCATCACACCCAGATTACGCGGATCCATACAGCAAGAATGCGTTAACAGAGTCACATTTGAGTGCACATGCTGCCTGAAATTCTTTTGAAAACCTTTTTGATTCCCTTTTCCTGCAGGCGGATGAAGAATCTGGTGAACATTAAGGTTGTGGTCTCCACTGCTCAGTCACAAGGGGCCGGATGCAGTGAGGAAATTTTTGTGATTCTTCATGGAAAGTCCGGTGACACCACAAAATGCGTCCTGCCTTCTCAATCCGAGAGCTTTGGGAGGGGCCGAAGGGACACATTTAGGTAGAGCGTATTGATGCGTGAGGCCCAAAACTTGGTACTGTGCTTTCGATACACAATCAGTTGATGGACATCGCGTTGATGGAAAACGCAGACGTAGGTGCATATTCACGCTTGCACTGGAAGCTCGACCTTCCGATCAGCTTCATATTGAGCGACATGTGCGTTTCAATTTTCTGAAATTGTTCTCTTTCATACCATCTTTACATAATATCTAGTACTTACAGGAAACAAAACTGCCGCTGCGGAGTTTACTGGAAGGTGCACAGCATTCGTGCGCAGTTTTAATTATGCTAACGAAAATCTCTTTTGCAGACTCGTCGATTGGGTCGGCCCAATTGTTCTTTTTTTGATATTTCTTATTGTTTTATAAGGACTTATTTTTACCTGATGCGCGGTAATGGACAAAATGTGTTGGGGCATCTAGCCAGTGCCGGTTCTGATAAATTCTACCAATCCTGGTTTCAAAAATCACCATGCATAGCGGTGTCAAATTTAACACGTTTAAGGAGAAACGTATGATGAAAATGTAGTGTTACAAAAGAATTGTATTTTCTACTCGCAAGTAAATTAGTTCATACATCACATTGGATAACGCATAGTTAATATGTATTGCAGCTATTTTTTCTCATCATTTTCGCATTTTGAAATGAATCCGCCGCCAGTGTCGGACATTTCTTCGGAAGACGGGTGGCATGGGCACTACGTAATAGGTTCTCTCCATATTCATTTAAAACCGGTTTATCTTTTCACTGCAGCATATTTACCCATTTCATACAGTTTCTGACTGTATTGAAACATCATAAAATGGGATCAAGGCGTGTGCCGTGAGCCGCATTATTTGGTGCCATTTTTGCCAGTGTTTCGATTGTATCACTGGAGCGCATTCACCACATTAAACGGTCCATTTACCACTCCAACGTGTGGGATGATCCGTAAATTTAACGTTCTCCTCACCACACTAAATAATACAATGACGACTTCATCAGCGGCATTCGTGAGCCTTATTGTACAGAAGTCATCCTATTTTTCAATCTACGCCCTTGAGAGCATTCCTAGCATCTTAGAATTTGGACGCACAAATTACAACCCTCGCTCTGGGCGATTCTGGCAGCCTTGTCGTTGTGGACGTGGGCGACTTTCAGAGGCTGACCGTGGGGTTCTGCGAAGACACCCCTGCGTCGGATTGGCTCATGGAATACGCGGAGATCCTGGGCGAGGGGGGCGGAAGTCCGGCGTACTTTTTGTGCGGGCAGTGGATTGGGCCCCGCAAAGGCCAGGGCGTGATGGAGCGGACCCTCTGCAGGTCCGCCACAAATCCGGAGGATTATTTCGCGCACTACGAGGTGGGCGCAAATGAGAACAATGTGTTCGCATTTCAATTTGATGAATCCAGTCGAAAGCCGCACTTCTCACTTTTCAGGGATGAAACAGGACAAAGACGTGGCACTCCCAGACCTTCGTTTTGGTCCGTTCCCGGATAAGCCAGGAAATCATGGAAAGCCGCCAGACGGGAAGTTCGCAAATCCTCACAAAATTGCTATTAGTCATAAACTGACTCGCGCATGCTGACGACTGCATTGCAGCAATGTGGATCATCGGTACAACGAACCACCGCAGAAAGCTCCACAGCAACTTTTCTCACCTGCCACTGAGGCAAATTTACCTCAGAGAAATTACACAACGAAGTTTCTCTTTCGTTGAATCTATGGCCCCTGGCTTCAGGTGAAGATATTCACTTCCGACATCCGCGGTGCCGGCACAGACGCGAACGTCTCAATCGCTATGTTCGGGCAGAGAGGCAACAGTGGAGAGCTCCGCCTTCAGGCGTCCCAAGAATCCTTCGAGAGGGGGTCCGTGGACGCCTTTCGATTCCGCCTGCCCTTCCTCGGAAACTTGAAGTGGATGCGGATTTGGCATGACAACGCCGGGCAGGCGCCGGCGTGGCATCTGTCCAGGGCAGAAGTGTCCAGCTCTAAAGATGCCAAAGTAAATCAGCCCCTGTATTTGAGAACGGCAAGAGAATATAATAGATGTATTTGTCTTGTTCCATCACCCGAGTTCAGGATTTGCGATATCATCGTGGCGTCCCAGTTCGGGTGAATTGCATTGCAGCATTGGATACATGTCACCCATTGTCAGAATTTGTCCTTTGGAAAATCACCTTTGAACTTCGGGACTCCTTCAAAGATAATACAACAGCCGGTCTCCTGGGATCCGAAGGGGTGATAGTAATGCCACCGGGGACCAGAAAATGAAGTGATCTGTTTCCTGGGGTTCCTTTCGCATTGTCGAGCGAATAGTATTGCCTTTTCGCCCCAAACAAAAGGATATCACTTGACAATTGGTATTTAATTTTCGATCAACGCGCCCTATTTGATCTGCGCAGACGGTGGTGTTTCCCTGCAACATGTGGCTTGCAAATGACAGAGGAGACATGAAAATCTGCAGAGATCTCACCACTTCGGAAGAGCCAACGGTCTCCGACGTCTGCGCCTACGAAATGAAGGTTTTCACTTCTGACATACGAGGTGCCGGCACCGACGCCCGCGTGTCTGTCGAGCTCATCGGCGGCAGCACCAAGATTGGGCCCTTTGCGCTGGACAACTCACCTGAAAATTTCGAGAGGGGGCGGGTACACGAATGGCTTGTGAAATGAGGAGAATTCCTGCTTCCTGTGTTTTCGGTAAATCGCGATCCATCACAAAAGATAGATGTATGTACTGGATAACCTTGTACAGGTCACTTTACTGTTTTCTTCAGAATCCAGGATACATGTCCAAAATTGCAGAAGGCGGAGTACTGAATGACAGATCCAGCAAGGCGTTCAGTTCAGCTGTAAATGACATGAAACAGCACAGGCGCTTGGTGCCCCAATTCTCTCAGAGAGCTGCATTCCATTTCTCCACGCTTTTAACTTCAAACAGTGTTCATCCTCTTTCCAAGGTCGACACATTCGTCGTGGAAGCCCCGAACATACAAGAAATCCAGAAATTGGCCATCCACCACGACAACTCAGGGCGATCTCCGGCCTGGCATCTCGACGCCGTGGAGGTCACCAAGGGCGCCCCGCCAGGCGCCAAAACCATTCTGTTCCTCTGCCGCTCGTGGCTGGGCGGAGGCGCCCCTGCGAGAGTGGTGCTCGAGCCCAGCGCCCGCGGAAGGGGAGATCGCGACGACTACGCCGTGTCGGTGGCCACGAGCGACGTGAAAGGGGCGGGCACGGACGCGGACGTCAGTCTTAACTTGTGTGGAAGCGAGGGATCGACGGGGTTCCAAAGGCTGTGGGCGGAGCACGACACGTTTGAGAGGGGGAAGGTGCGCGGCCAAGATAGCGGAAAGCAACTGCGTTCGTTTGTCGCTAGATTGCGTAATTTTATTTCAAATCGGTTTGGCGGGATTCTTGGGCACACACTGAATGGCGCAAAAGCAGCCATTTGCTGGCTCTCGGCATTGCTGCCTGGCGCACCTACGGGATGAAATTGTATAGAGAGGGGAAATATTGCGTTATTTGCCCTATCTGTTTCATCTTGTAATGTGAACATCTAATTTGGATATCCACCCCTGGATTGCATGGGCCGGAAATGTTGTCTAAATAAAACACATGAAATTGTGAATAAATTTCAAGATATGAAAAGAGTGGTAAAATTTTCTCCCACGATGAAGGTCCCGGTAAGTTCGTGCAGACGCTGAAAAATAATAGACGGAAATTTACATTTGATGGAAATTTACTGTGTATTCTGCATGCTCATATTACAGGATACACATTCTTGAAACTGCTGTTATTCCTAAACAATATATAGTCACAGTGCAGTGTGCGTTTGAATAGTTTAAATGCATGCAGTCGTATGTAAATACACAAATATGCCAAATTGCAGTTTGAAGTCTCACCATAACTGTCTATTTTCAGCTCTCCCGCCTACATTGAAACCATGTAAGGATGGAGTCATCCAAGTAGATATTTTCCTACGCGTGTACATTTTTGGCTTTCATATGTTGTCCATTCAGGCAACTGTATGCTTTATTTTGCATTGCTCTCATGCACACATTGATTTGCTCTACGCTTTCAGAATCTTGCCAGGCAGGCTTTCTTGTAATTGTATCGATGAGGCACGGGATTACGAAGGCTGGCTCCCATCCCAAGCTACAGTGATTATGTGTTAGCCAATGACAAGCTACCAAATGCCAAGTCAATTAGGCGATAACGCAAAGAGCAGAACTGAGCTGGAAACTACAAATTGTCGTTCGAAAACAATCGAAATTGTTATTATTTAATGTCCCATTTGATGCACAGCATCCATTAATGAACATTTACCTATATAGTTCCATCAATATTGATGCAACGAGAAAAGGCCCAGCCTCCGGCTACGGTGGCGCGAACCCCGGCAACGCCGCCAAAAGGGGTTGAGAAGATGGATGGGCGTTCGTAGCTCTCAGTTCTCCGTCCGACGCCACGGGCATCCGGGTGGCTACGTCGCCGCTCCTGTCCGCGGGGAGTTCTGGCGACGTCGCCCGAAGTTGGAACTCTAGAGAATGAAACTGGGAGCCCCTGCGCAACTTGAGTTCCTTGAGTTTTTCAAGTAATTGCAGACAACTGCTTGTCTGGAAAAAGTGGTACAAATCCATACAGTAAGTAATAAATTTTGTTCCGTTTTCCCCAAAACACTATTGCGTAATGCTTAAAAACTTACCCGCAGCATTGCAAAGCTCAGCTTCTCGCGCCCCCGCAGGTGGACGAATTTGATCTCAAACGCCTCTCCCGGGTCGGCGACATGATGTCGCTCACAATTCGATCCGACGGGTCTGGGACCGGCGCCGCTTGGCACGTATCCCACGTGTCGGTTCGGCGAGCCTCGGACGGCGCTATCGCCTACTTTGCCTTCAATCGATGGATGGGAAAGTCTCATGGCCTGGAAGCCACTGCGGAGGCGAGCAGCATGCATCCAGACAGGCTAATGCAGGAGTACAGGCTGATGGTTCACACGTCGGATCAGAGGTAGGGGTGCCTGTCTATTCGCCTTTGATTCAAAATTGGTGCCTGAAAATATGTAATTCAAAAGCATGAAATATGCAGAAACTCTGTGCATGGGCCCATTTGTGCGAAACGCACAATTGAAATATTCGTGCTGAGAAATCGCGTACGAAATTCCAATGAACATCAACTCCTGGAAATTAAATTTTACAATTGAGTAAGTGAAAACGCTTTCATTGCATTTAATTTTCCATTAAAGAATCTGCGGCAGCGTTGCTGGCTTGCTGCCTCATGGCAGTGATCTCTTGAAAGTATTCTGCGCGCGGCAACCTCCTGGCCATCGCACAATACATACTGTTCGTATATTACATTCTTTACACAACCCATACTATTTTGCATAGTATTATATTGCAATATTGTGCATTTGCACACATGCACATTATTATGTATACAACTTCCCTTGGCCCCGGTAGGTGTGCTCGGAAATACACATTGAATGTAGCAGTGAAATTGCCCGCGATATATCAATGTGATCCAGAAAACTTTGGTTCATCAAGGCGAATTTATCATGCAACGAAATTTCAATAAAACGCATGCACCTTGCCTTCCGCGCAAATTAGCCCTGTTTGGAGGACAACGGTATGAGGCTCAGTATTTAGCACTGCTGGGTCACGCAAAATGTTTCCTGAAGGGGTGCTTTTCATCCATCCAAGGGGCGCCGGCACAGACGCAAACGTTTACGTTGAAATCAATGGCGAATCAAGGTCGAGCGGGCCCATGCAGCTGGAGCCTCAATCCAAGAACTCATTTCAGAGGGGCGACGAATCCTCATTCACGCTGAGGCTGCACCCCCTTGGCCAAATACAGAGCTTGCGGATATGGCATGACGGCAAGAGCCAACGCTCAGGGTGGCGCCTGCACATGGTAGTCATGGAAGCCGTGCTAACAGGTATCAGCCCATCATATGCATTTGCGGCTTGCAGCTTTCTCATATGAGATCGGCTTCGGCTGCCTAGAAGAAGAGATGACTCAAATTTCCCTACAAAGTGAGCGGCCGGACTTTATGACTTTCATATTCTGCAAAGAAGTTTATCGGGCATTTGTGATAGCCGAATCTCTAGTCTGCCATCCGATGGCCATGTATCCCATTCTTATTTTACTCCAGTCTCACTGACAGCCTTTCATAATCCCTCCGACGCTTGGCAAGGATGGGCCCATTTAAAGGCAGGGCTTTACGTCGAGTCTCTGGAGCCACCATCCTTCTTTTATGCGCAACGAATGAGCCGATATCGCTAGATCATCTAGTTTCTGTAATCCATTCGATGTCGCTTTTCCCTAACCACCTCATCACGGATCTGGTGCGGGAGGGAATCTTCTTCTTTTTGGCTGTGTCTGATTTTATGGCATGTCTCTTGCGCCTGTTGCCTCCATTCACTCACAAAGCCACCCGCACCAACCTGGCAAAAATTCACATGTTTCGCTTTCAAAAGTTTACATCACATTTCACAACCGGGGCGCGGAAAGACAATTACCTGGCATGGCCTGTTAAACAGAATATGTGGACAGGCCCTGTTTCATTGGGATTCGAAATAACAGGTTCTTTTTTCCCATTCATGGGACTTGCGTGGTATAAATGTGAGGGGTGTTTGGTGCAGGAGAGAAGCTGTACTTCTGCTGCGACGGCTGGCTGTCCCCCGACAGAGGAACTGAACGCACCCTCACTCCGGCCCAGTTTGCCGTAGAAAGGGGCGAATATAAGGTTGGGAGCAAATGCACACAGCGCGATGCTTGAATGTCTGCCTGCCAATGTGGTCAGAATTCCAGAATCAGAGGGGTCCGATCATCCAATTTAGACATGTCAAGGCGCGACTGTAATCTGCGATAACTCTATTCACGCATGTGTAATGTATATTTATGCCACTGGCACAAAAACTCCGTTTTTGCGATGCCAGCTGTGAGGATCTCTTTACACTCTTTGGAGCCGTCGCGCGTACTTCTATGGAATAAAAAGCAGTTGTGGTGGGATCAATGAGTGTCAAACGTCATCACAGTTGGCATCGCCGAAACGTCGTTTTCCACCGATGCGCGCTGCATGGAACAACATATCACATATCACAGAGTATGCGATCTGGACCAAATCACATGCAGCATGTGACGCATTACGATGTAGTACATACTCTGCGCGGAATCACTCTGAGGCTACAATCCCAGGTCCTTCTCTACACCGGCCAAGCGCGAGGGTCGGGTACGGACGCCAACGTCTTCGTGGA